TTATTCTTGTTAGAAAAGGGTTGATTGTCATTAATGGTTAGTGATTGAATAGTATCGGCTAAGGTATCCAACGTAGAAGAGATTCATGAACTGTTCAGTAAATACGTGGCCGCTATGTTAAGCAAAAGGCCAAAACCATACATCAATCTTTTTGTTCTTTTTATATAAGCAAACCTTATCCAATCTAAGGATTACAACTGTTACACAAATGATAAAATAAGAGACTGTAAAATAAACTACTAAAATTTATCACCATAATTCTAATAACATCAAAACTATTAAGCTTCTTTAAAAGTTTTTTCTACGTAATGAGATTGGTTTTAAGAATAGAATTTATCAGATTTAGTAACCTTACTTTCTAATATTACATTTTCCTCACCCAATCAATCATTTCAAATTGAGAGGAGAAAAATACTAGTAGTCTCATTAATGGCATTAATATATGTACCAAAAATCAATGCATCATTCACATACAAAATATTTTGAAATAAACACTTATAAACATCTTAACAATGAAAGTAATATTTTTAATTAATAATATACTAAATAATAATTCAAAAAAAATAATATTTTGTTTGGCATGAATAAGATGAGAACTAATTCATATTATTTCCACAACAACCCACCCCCACCCATGTCTATTTGTCCTCAACAATAATCACCCTGCAATCTGCATGAATTGCTTCGGTTCTTTGAGCTACCGAAATTTTTTTACGACAAAAGAAACGTGCTGTCTTGTTATGCATGCATGTACTCCATCATTATTTTTTTCTTCGTGGCAATCAGATTGATGAAGACAGTTTCAAAGTATCTTCACCAATATTAATGAGTTTTGGTAAGTTATTTCAATGTTTTAGATTTTATGCGATTGAAAAATTATTTTTATAAGTTGTTATTTCGATATTTTAAATTTCCCAGATCGAGATTAATTATATAGTTGGATTAAAGAGTAAATTTGTTTAACGAGTGTTTAAGGACTAAAATGTGAAAATGAAGAATGTGGTGATCACTTTAGTAAAAAGTGAAAATTTAGGTTCTCAAATGAAATAAAGAGAAAAGATTAATGGCTAAAGCTATGATTACACCATGAAATGATTAATTGATGGAGAAAGGACTAGACTTAGAATTTTACTATTTTTCGAAGATGAATAAGCTTCTAAAGTGTTTTTTTGATTAGGCTTAATAATATAAAAATAATTGCTAAATTATACTCAAAATTGAATTTAGGTACATAAAAAATTTTTCGTCAAAACTACGTGTTTAATGTTTTTCCGTTACATTTTCATGTGTCTATCGTTAAAAAATCGTTAGGTGACATATCTTAAGTTTAGAATTAATAAAATATTTTTAAATAATATTTTATTTTAAATAAAATAAAATATATATAAACGTGACACGTGTCATTTAGATTTTTTTAACTATATGCACCTAAAAGTGTAACGAGAAAATATTAGCACATATTTTTAACAAAAAATTCTTGAGAAACAAAAAAATCAATTTTGAGTATAGTTTAAAACATTTTGTATTAAACCTTTTGATTATAATGTAGTCCATTTCTTTATATTCTTTAATTAAGGAAATTAGCTCACCACCTTGAAGGGCTTGATTTCAGCTGTCTAAAGACAAAAAAGAAAATGAGAATTGAAGTCCATTCTCCCAGTATCTTCTTCCCCAAACCCTATTTTGATTATAATTTAGTATAAGGGTTGTTAAAGTTATAAGATAAGTATTTATTCTTAATTTTTCTTAACACATATCTGCAAACATAACTGCTCGAAACTAGAAATAAAGGAGAACAACATTCTTTTTAACCACTAAAATCACTCGATAAGTTCATACATATATAGGGACCAAACTACTAAGGGATTGGGAGTGGTTGTGCCCCCCCAACCCAGAATTTTTTTTACACTTAATTTATATATAAAATTTAAATATTTATGAGATAATTATGAAATCACCCTCAATTTTAGAAAAAAAAGATATCCTTTATCCCTTCAAGTTGAAATCATGACTCTGTCCTCCCCCCTCTCTCTCTATATATTAAAGTTGGATTATAGAGTAAATGGAATTTCCATGTACGCACACTTGTCACTCAATTGTGGCAGGTTTCTCTTGCTACTATATTTTTATTCACCGAAGGAAATCATGTGCAGCCAAAACCCAGATTTATGTAGAGACAGAGATGGTGGATTCAGAGATGCACGGGGGTGCCATGGAAAACGGGAACAACGGTCGTTGAAGGTGCAGTGCGAGACATGAACAAGTAACATACAAACACCACAATGCCATTGTTTGTTTACAGAGGAACTGAAGGTTTTGGCTTTGGTGGTGGTTGGAACTACATTTTGTGTTTTCTCCCCATACTTCCCTTATCCAGTGCATCCTCCTCTTTATTTATTTATATCCCACACCATCATATTATGGCTCTGCATGCAAACAACTCTCACTATTCACTTGTCATATATCATCTAAAAAGATAAATTCATCTCCAAAACAAAAATGTTTTTGCTTTTCTACAATCGCTTTTGACTGATACTTTTATGTAAGCAGAAGCAAATAATTTTGTTAAAAAATATATTTAAAATTACCATGAAGGTTTATAATCATAAACGTAAACTAAACACATAATTGAATATTTTTGTAAAATCATTCTCACATTATCTCAACGATTTTAGATCATTTAAAAACCATACACCTAAAGTTTATGATTAAATATATTTATTATACAAATTATTATCTAGACCTGAAACTCTTCTCAAATTGATATTTCAACTTAGAAACTAGAAAGAGTTTTTAAATTAACATATTGTATCTATTTGGTATTCCAACAATTTGGCATCCAAATTTTAAACCGAGAGAAAAGAATAGTGGAAGGGGGAAAAAATCAGTGTAGCGATATAATTGGTTAATTTTTTTTTAATGAGAGGGACTTAAATTGATGACGGAACGATAATATATATATTTATTTCGAGTAAAAATTAATTTAGAAACTTCAAGTAAAAGAAAATTATAGTACGAACCAGTTTACTTCTGTAGTTAAAAGAATCGTTGTTATTCTTAGAGGTTATGAGTTTGAGCATCAACAGTTACAACAAGTTGATTGAGTGTTCATTGTCAAATTGTTAAGAGTATTTATAACAGATATTACTTTGTAATCACGTTGGCTTAATAAAAAAAGTAAAAGAAAATTATAGCACGAAACAACTTACCTCAGTAGTTAAAGAAATCGAATATTTAGAAAATATACTACTTAGTAATCGCCTTAACTTAATAAAACAAATTATAATTTAAATATTAATTTATATAAAAAACTAAAATATAGTGAAAATATGGCACTTGGGCATATATATAAAAAGTATTGAGCATCCAAAATTCCCAAGGTTTGTATCTTTTATTGATCACTTTTCTACAATTTTCAACTGAAAAGAAATTATATAAATCTCGGTAGGAACTTAGGGGAGAAATAATTAGATGCATACAAAAAAATCAAAGCAAGAGACATATAATTGTGTATGACACCAAGTTCGATGACAGCTGCAAGGCATACAAGGTTTTAGTGAGAGCAAAGCGGCATTAATATATCATGCAGAGAAATTATAAGAAAAATATTTTATTAATAGTAGGGTGTAATTATAATATAGTATATTTTTAAGATTTTTATTAATTTATTAATAATTTATACACACTATGTAGATGTAGTTATTTAAATTTAAATTCACTAATGAAATAATATTTCTTTTTATTGCTAGAATCTTTCGATGAATTCTAAAAAAATAAAAATAAGAGATTTTAAAAAGATAGTAAATTATTATATATAATGTGGGCATGTTCCTTTGGGGTCAGCAATATCATAGGCAGGATCTATGGGTTTAAAAAAAGGGTTATGGAGATGTATAGGAAGCGGGGCGGATGCACTAACTCTCTAGGGACCAAGTGTATTCATATTATTTAAGAAAAGATATGAAATTTAGTTTAATATATTAAGGAAAATAAAGAAAATAAAAATTTTTGCATTCCCATTATTTAAAAAAATATTAAAATTTTAAACCTCGATTATTAAATTTATGGATCTGTCATCGATAGGAAGTAGTCCCAACATTAATTTGAGATTTTAGCTTGGATATTTAACAAGCTAAGTTTTCAATTTTGATGTTGGGGGAAAATCCCACCTACTCAAATCTCATGTGATCATATTCTATTTGAGTGGCTACGAATTAAATTTGAGTGAATGACATCCATTTGTCCTGTTTTATGTCCAAAATAATATTTTAGAGATTAAACAACAACATTAAAAGAAATGTCAAAGACTTGGTTCACTTGCACAATAAATTTTGTCCTTGGCATTCAAGTTAATAGATGGCGTCGGTTTTTAGGTTCGAATTCCTACCAAACAATAAGACTTAAAGAGTAAAGTAACATCTATTAATTATCTACCTATGTCTGCACATGCATGCTGCATGCACACAGCTGAGGGGGATTTGTTTTTCTCTTATCTTTTTGGCTTTGAAATTGTGGATAAGAAGTAGTTTATTACAAAACAATAATGGGATTTTGACGAAAGAGATGATGGAGACAGATTTGAGTGGAATGTCAAAAGATTAGGGGGCATAATAAAGTATGTCATAAAGCTTAACTTTCATTTCTGTAAGAAAATACAAACTGTTAATAATATACACATTAGCCATTTCGAATTTATAATCATAAGAGAACAACACTTTCTTTTATCACATAGTTCACGATAATTTCTTTCATATTACAGTATTTTGTATTTAGTTAAAGTTAAGTGATGGAGTGGTGAGCAAGAGAGCATGGTGGTCCATTCAAGACACAAAGACTGAACTTATAATTTTGTTGGGCAAGCGAAGTCGAGTTTTGTTTAAAAAAAGAAAAAAGAAATTTTATTTCCATGTTTTGCGATCTTAAGCATGGCATTTGGACAAGAAGTGAAAAATGAAAGGAACAAGATGATGATCATCCCCTTGTGAGATTTGAATCTTTCCATTCATTGGCAACCCTTTGTTCCATTTCTTCCCAAGAGTCATAAAGTCCATTGTAGCAGCTAGCAACAGCAGGTTGATATTCGGAAACTTAAACCACCTTAGTCTCATCTCTCTAATTTCCTTAAAACCGCCTGTCAATGTTCAAACTTCAAATGAGTTGAAGAAGAAGAAGATAAAGCCAAAAGAGAACCAAACCAATAGGAAATCACTTAACTGGTGCCCTTGTAGGTGGTTTCCTGGTGGAGAAGGCTGCAAAAATCCAAAGTTGCCTTGGAATGCGGGCCCTCCCTGCAACAATTCAATGGTTATCAACAAGTTATAATGGAAAAAACTGGGAAATATAAGTTAATGGTTCTTTGAATTAAGATTGGCCAACTACCTGAAAGTGTGTTGCAGAGAACCCCTGGGGATGATAATGGAAACCACTTTCCTCCATTGAAGCTTGAGTATTATTGGTGTGACCAAAATTGTTATTTTTCTGGAAATTGATGCGAGGAGAGCTGGCGGTATCATCATGTAAAGAAGGCAGTTGTTGTTCCTTGTTCCTATGTCTTTTACCACCATTTTTATTCAATTCAGCAACTTTAGGCACAGTGTGGTGATGATGATCATCATCATTGAAATAACCATCATCTTCATAGAAATGTGGAGGCCCAGAAGATGCATCGGACACCATGGAAAGGTCTTCTTCATCATCATCATCATCATCAACAACAACAACGTCTTCTTTACCCTTATGACCCTTCCTATATTCACCACAAAAACCACTCTTTTTGTCATTTGAACCATAAGAACAAAAGGACTGCTCTAAGTAACTAGTCCAACCAGATTCACACCCACTACTGCACTCAGAGGACAAAACATTCATTTTTTTTTTCTTTCTTCTAAGTTGCTAATCAAAACAAAAGAGCAATGTCTCCTATTAATGAAGAGAGGTAAAGGCTGTGAAAAAGAAGAAGGGACTCAAAAGAGGGAGGTAAGTGTAACTCAGAGATGGTGAGGTTATATGTTTGCGCTATTTAAGGGTGGGGGAGTGAAAAAAAGCAAAGAGCAATTAAGAGAATGAGACTCAAATCCCAGACTAGTTTTGTCTGCATCCTCCTCCCCATTCAGCCATTGAAGTGAATGAATCAAAAGTGCCAGTTGGGGGGTGGGTGCATGCAAGTAAAAAAGAAAGAGAGAAAAGGCCGTCACATGCTATACAGCAAAGCAGTGTATGTGTACCCTCCTATGAAAACTGGGCACACATCCATTTTTTCACAGCCATCCCCTTCAGCCATTAATATACTCTCTCATCTCTCTCTATATTTCTCTTTTTAATCTAATCCCATTGCCTTCACTTCCTTGGTCTTGGTGAGATGACAACAATGGCCTTAATATGATTGTTTTGGTTTTTTAGAGGTTGGAATGAGTACTGTTTTTCTTATAAGTCTTGGGGTGAATAACTACATTTATAGGAGTGTACATTATTGATGGTTAAAAAAAATTTCAAATATTATCTTATAGTATTTAAAAAAACTATTTAAGCAATTTTTTGTGATGCATGGTTGGTTGGTAAGAGTTATTTTTCAAAAGCGTGTGTTGGTCGATATACCGTCTTATAGTGCTTTATATTCACTGATTTTTATCCGTTGTTATCGTTAATAGAATGCCATTTATGAGTTTCCGACATGTCAAAGGTGTAAAACAAAACGTAACCCGTCAAATAAATTAGGGTAAATTACAAATTTTGTCACTAACTTTATTTTCACTCCTATTTTGGTTATTAAAATTTAAAAATTTTAATTTAACCATTAAAATTTTGATTTATTCATATTTTAATCACTCAAGTGTTAAAATAATAAATGAAAAGGTGACATAAATTCCACTAGTGCTGATATTGACTGCTCTTATTGACATGAAATATGTGTGTTATACATGTCATTATCCTTTTTCTTTCTTTTTATTTTATCTTCTTCCTCTAAAGATGAAAGTTTTACGATTTCATCTTAGTGTCACATTGATATTATAATCATCATTCTATGGCGTCTTATCCGACCACTCAAGATATTAATGAAGTCACCTCATTGTCTCCTACTAATCTATCAGTTTATATTTTACCTATATCACTTTAAAACTCATAAAACTTAACTCTAAACCTTAAACTCATAAAACCTCAAATCATTCTAATATATAATATCCATTCTTTGATTATCATGGAATTAAAATATGCAATTTATTTCTTTCTTCTTCACCTCCCATTGTTGAGATTTGGAAGAAAATATCATCGAGAAATCAAATAGAATTCAAAATTAACATAAATTTATTGATATATTGGATAATTCACAGTCATTTGTATTCTAAAATATTCTTATTGTGTAAATGGTTATGCATTTCGTACAATTGTTTTTTTTTTTCATTTGAATTTCTAAGAAGTCGCGCACATGTGTGTCTATGTAAAAACACGAGCTTCTATATATACATTTCTGAACCTTTTGACTAAAATCTAGAGTTTCTAGATAGCACACACATGTTTGCACATGTACACGAACTTCAACCTAAATTGCTCTCTTCCATCTTCCATTTATAAAATTTGTATGTTTGGGATCTTTGCTTCTGGTTCCAAGGCTTTTAGCTTTTTGCCATGTTGGTTCTTTCTTGCCTAGTTTTACATTATAAAAAGGGGAGGACATTACCTTATCTTTTAACCTTTTAAATAATATATTTGGACTATACTTTTATGCTTGCCACGTGAATTTGTTTGCAAAAACAATTTAGTAAACTGTGAATAAATAATTATAAAATTATTTTATTCTTTTAATAAAATAAAACTTGTTGATGATAAAAATGAGGTTGTAATGATTTAGATGATTCATCTCTTACAAATTGGGTGAGAGCCATAATTGATGGTTTTTTAGGTTGAGGAAAGTGATGAACGGTGGAGAGATTGAGTCCTAGAAAGATCGTATGTGTGCGAGAGAGGAAAAGATTCTTTCTACAACCTTGTATGATGGCTTATAAACAAGCTTTTAGTTATAGTATCATTCTTAGAGTGATGAAGATTATCTATAGGTTGACAAAACGAACATATATAACTGACAAATAACAAATTTAATTCTGATCATGTGTGTCTGTCAATGGTCACATCTAACTAGCCAGAATATATGGAATTTCAAAGATTTCTAGGAAGTCTAAAGGTTTTGATTGACAAACAATAAACTACATAGAATCGTTTTACAAAAAAAAAAACATTTGATGAAAACAGATTAAAACTACTTATACATAAGTCATGCCTGTGAGAATGAATTAATTGCTCAAGAAAAGTTATCCCATAATTCTATATTGGGCCTGAGGGGTGCAGATCTTCACGAGATCTCAATATCATTTGTTAGGGTGCCCAATTTTCCTACGAGTGAAGTTTATCTTGATCTAGGAAATAGGCAAGCGATAGTGCAAGAGACTCTATCCACCTCAAATGATCCAAGCTGCATGAGGTGCCAGTTAACTCAGGGGAAGTGAACCAAGTTGGGCCCTAAATCTTGGTGGAGAGAAAATACTCCTCTCTTAGTATTGTAGGTGAGAGCTTTCAGTTCTGCAAGGGTAAAAAATTTGGTCTGAGATGTTGGGAAATTAACGAGTAAAGAGTAATTTCCCTATAACCAAATTAGTGAGAATGCGAAAAAAAGTGGAAAAATAATACCTGAAATTGATAACAGAGTTCAGTCAATTTTACCTACGTCTCCGGACTGCTGCAGATCTTTTACTAAAGAGAGAAAATTTAAAGGTGTTTACAAAACACTCAGTACTCACAAGAGAACTCTCTAAACTCTTTAGTATTGGGAGAAAGAAATGATTTTGGGATGATTTTGAAGCTAAATGGGCAATGGTATTTATAGTTGAAGCTTAGGGACTAATCTTATAAATACCCTAAAGTGTGTAGGGACTAAAATATAATTAACACTATTACATTTTTAATAAAAAAATAGGGCACCGAATTCGGTGCCCCTTTGTTGAAAACCCATGCGCCTTTGTTGAAAAACCTCACCCCCTACCTTTTTGACTTTCACGTTCAACAATCTCCCACTTGAAGATTGATTTTAATCTTTCTTCACACCTTGATCAATGCAGCAACATTTATAGTCTTATTATTCTAGCATGCCAACTGAAGTTGAACACAACTTCAGTTTGTCCGTAGTCACCGTCTTTGTCAACATGTCTGCCGGATTTTGAGCTCCACTAATCTTTTCAAGTTTTAAAATCTCATCTTCCAGAAGAGACCGAATAAAATGATATCTCAATTGTATGTGCTTCGTCCTGGAATGAAAAGACGGATTCTTAGCTAGATGGATATCACTTTCTTGTTTCTTGCCTAACTCTTCCAAGAAACTTTGGAGCCAGACCATCTCCTTGCTGGCTTCCGTAATAGCGACATATTCTGCTTCAGTTGTGGAAAGAGCTACTATCTTCTGTAGTTGAGAAACCCAACTCACTGCAGTACCTCCTAGAGTATAGACATACCATGTAGTGCTCCTTCTAATGTCAACATTTTCGGCTAAGTCAGCATCCACATAGCTTGACTGTATCGTATCCCCACCTTTGAAACAAAGTGCTTTGTTTGTGGGACCCCATAGATATCTGAGGATCCATTTGACTGCTTCCTAGTGTACTTTTCCCGGATTATTCATGTACTTGCTAACAACTCCCACTGCATGAGCAATATCTGGTCTGGTACAAACCATGGCATACATCAGACTTCCAATTATTGAGGCATACGACACCTTTACCATGTGTGCATGTTCTTCTTCCGTCTTTGGTGACTGTTCTTTGGAGAGTCTAAAATGAACACCTAAAGGTGTACTTACTGGTGTAGCATCTTGCATGTTGAACCTGGAGAGTACTTTGTTGATGTACTCAGCCTATGATAACATCAGAGTCCCCGACTTTGTGTCTCTCTTGATCCTCATCCCAAGAATCTGCTTTGCAGCGCCCAGATCTTTCATTGCAAACTGTTTCGACAATTTTGCTTCAAGTTTATAATCTCTTGCATGTCTGAACCTACAACAAGCATGTCATCAACATACAACAATAAAATAATGAAGCTGTTGTCGAACTTCTTGATATAGCAACAATTATCTGCTTGGCATCTGGTAAAACCATTGCTACCCATGAAACTATCAAACTTCTTGCACCACTGTCTAGGAGCTTGTTTTAAACCATACAAACTCTCCTTCAACCTGCAAACCAGGTTTTTCTTGCCTGCCTCTATGAAGCCTTCTGGCTGCCTCATATAGATTTCTTCCTCCAAATCACCATAAAGGAAAGCTGTCTTCACATCTAACTGCTAAAGATGTAGATTCTCTTCAGCTACAATTTTCAACACCAGTCTGATTGTGGACAGTTTCATGACTGGAGAGAAAATTTAATTATAGTCAATACCTTCTTTTTGCTGAAAACCTTTGACAACCAGTCTTGCTTTGTAGCGTTTTCTCCCACCGTGCTCTTCTTTGATCCTGTAAATCCACTTGTTATGGAGTGCATTCGTACCTGGTGGTAATTCAGCTAATTCCCACGTCTGATTTAACATAAGCGAGTCCATCTCATCTTTCATGGAAGACTCCCACTTGAGTGAGTCTTCCACCTGCATTGCTTCATCATAGCACTCCGGTTCACCATTGTTAGTCAGCAACAAATAGTGCAAAGAAGGTGAATAACGCTGGGTTGGTTTAGGAATTCTGGAGGAGCGTTTTAGTTCCGGTGTGCCTGGTTCTTCTTGAACTGCTTCAGGACTGATCTGAACATCATTTCCAGAAATCTCCTCGAACTCAGCAAATTCCTTTGTTTCAGCTTCGATATTGGAGCTACTTGATTCTATGGTTGACCTGTCTTTGTACATCACATTTTCATTGAAAATGACATCTCTGCTTCTAATGATCTTTCGATTTTCATAGTCCTAAAATCGGTAACCAAACTCATCACCACCATAACCAACAAAGACACATTTGTTGGACTTGACATCAAGTTTACTTCTTTTAGTAAAATTTATGTGTACATAAGAAATACAACCAAACACTCTTAAGTTTGAAAGGTTTATTTCTTTCTTGCTCCAAACTTCCTCTGGTATTCCACCATCCAATGGAACTGAGGGCCCACAGTTGATCAGGTAAGCTGCAGTGTTGATAGCTTCAGCCCATAGCAATTTGGGCAATCCGACATGTATCCTCATGCTTCTGGCACGTTCATTCAGAGTTCTGTTCATGCGCTCTGCTACGCCATTCTGCAGCGGTGTCATGGGAACTGTTGTCTCCATATTTATTCCATTGTTTAAGCAGAAATCTCTGAATCTACTATTTTTGTACTCTCCTCCATTGTCAAACCTCATCCGCTTGACTTGTCAGAAATCTCTGAATATAGTGAGCCTGCAAGGAATGAAACTGGAGATGGTCCCCATACATCAGTATGAACCAACTCTAACTTTTCTGCCTTAGTGTCTTGCCAATCTTTGCAAAGCTGACTTTTTTTGTTTGCCAAAGATTCAATCCTCACATAGTCCGACATCTATATTCTTTAGATCCGACAACTTCCCTTTTGAAAAAAGTGTCTTCATCCTTTTCTTGCTTATATGGCCAAGCCTTTGGTGCCATAGGTTTGATTTTCCATCAGCATCTGCTACTGCAATGATATTCTGTAAATTTGAGGTTACATAGAGAGTATCAGTCTTCTTACCACGAGCAATGACAAGTGCTCCTTTGGTAATCTTCCATTCATAACCTAAAAAAATTGTACTATATCCTTCTCCATCAAGCTGTCCTACAGAAATCAAATTTCTTTTGAGGCCAGGAATATGTCTCACTCTTTTCAGCTTCCAGGTGGTCTAGTTTGGCAACTTTAATTGGATGTCTCATTTTCCGATGATCTTCAAGGTTTCATCATTAACTAGATGAACCTTCCCAAAATCACCACTGACATAGTTCTCCATGATTTCTTGGCATGAGGTGGAGTGGAAAGATGCCCCTGAATCCAAGATCCATGATTCAATCAGATTGTTGACGCTTAGAATCATGGCATCACCTGTCTCCCCTGTCATGTTGGCAGATTCCTGTACGCCGGTATCTTTCTTCGGTGCTCGGCAATCTCTTTTAAAGTGACCCTTCTTGCCTCAATTATAACAGGTAAAATCTTTCTTTCCCGTTCTTGATTTTCTCCTTCTGGATTTCGATCTGCCACGATTTGAATTTCTTTCTGAAGTTCTCCCTCTAGACTCCGTGTGCAAGGCTGAGGAGCTTGATGCTTCACCTAATTCTCTCCGTCGAATTTCTTCACTCAATACCAGATCCCGAACATCGTCGAATTTTAATTTGTTGTTTCCCAACGAGCTACTGACTGCTGTAACAGTAGCATTCCAACTGTCTGGTAGAGATGATAAGAGAATTAAAGCTCGAACTTTATCATCGAATTCAATTTCCACGAAACTCAACTGGGTTATGATTGTGTTGAATTCATTTAGGTGTTGAGCCACTGATGCCCCTTCCACCATCCGCAAATTGAATAATCGCCTCATCAAGTGAACTTTGTTTGAGGTTGATGGCTTCTCATACATACTGGAGAGAGCCGCCATATGACTCGCCGTGGTCTTTTCCTTTGCTATATTGAAAGCAACAATGCGGGATAACGTCAGTCGGATAACTCCGAGAGCTTGTCTGTCGAAAAGAGCCCAATCCTCATTCTTCATGCCCTCTGATTGGTTTCCTGAGAGAGGTTGATATAGATTTTTCTAGTACAAAAAATCTTCAATCTGCATCTTCCAAAAGCTAAATTCCGCACCATCGAACTTTTCAATTTTCACATTCCCTTCGTCTACAGCCATCGCTCCCACTCGAATCTGGCTTCGTTTGGATCGTTTCTGACAATTCTTGCGAACCACCGTGTATTAGAACACCTCCGTCGATAAATTCGTATCACTGACAAAATTTTCACTATTCACGAAATTCACTATTCATGTGAATAGTAATGAATAGTAACCTCACAAAAAAACCGATAAAATTCACCACCAAAAGCTCTGATTTCAGTTGTTGGGAAATTAACGAGTAAAGAGTAATTTCCTTATAACCAGATTAGTGATAATACGAAATAAAAGCGGAAAATTAATACCTGAAATTGATAACGGAGTTCAGCCAATTTTGCATACGTCTTCGGACTGCTGCAGATATTTTATTAAAGAGAGAAAATTTACAGGTGTTTACAAAACAATCACTACTCACAAGAGAACTCTCTAAACTCTTTAGTATCAGGAGAAAGAAATGATTTTGGGATGATTTTGAAACTAAATGAGTAATGGTATTTATAGTTGAAGCTTAGGGATTAATCTTATAAATACTCTAAAGTGTGCATGGACTAAAATGTAATTAATCCTATTATATTTTTAATAAAAATTTGGTGCCCCTGTTGGAAACCCATGCGCCTTTGTTGAAAAACCTCTCCCCCTGCCTTTTTGACTTTCACGTTCAACATGAGAGCATGCATTGACAAACTAAATTTGAGGAAAAATAAAAGAAGACATACAAGGAAAGCTAAGGAGTCCTCTGGTACCCGTCCAAAAAAGGACAAAGGAGTGATGTCTGGTTTTGCTCCAATCCCAGAACAGTGTAATCTGGAAGTGGGCTCTACTTCCCCCACAAGTACGAAATATATATGTTCGGAAGCTGATGAGATTCTAAAAACTGCAGCGATGTTGGGTTTGGAATTCAATGCTCCCAGGGATGTCTAGAGACTGCTGCAAGAACTGGAAGATTCAGATAGAAACTAATGTCTCGTGGCGACGTTTGTCTTTGGTGAGTTGATTTGGCTTTTATGGATTGGTGTATTCTTTCATAGAATGTTACGGGATTGGGTAGAAATGAGAAAGTTAGAGCTGTAAATCGGGTCATTCGAGTAAATAAACCAAGAGCTATATTTATTCAAGAATCAAAACTATCAGTGCTTAAACCAAACTTCGTGAGGCAACTGTGAGGCGTAAATCCAGGTAATTTGGTATTCTCCCCGGCGGAGGGTGCAGCGGGCAGACTCATATCTATTTGGGACCCGAATTTCTTTAGTATGGAAAGTACAATTGTCCACCCCAGATTTATTCTTCTTGTTGGGTTATCAGGCCCTCAGAAAATTCATTGTGGCCTACCGAACATGTACGCTCCTAATGGCGCGAGAGAAAGACGGATTTTTTGAAGAGTTATCAAGAGTATTAGACTCTTTTAATATCTCCTTCATCTTGGGAGGAGACTTCAACCAAGTGAGATCACAACAAGAGAAGATAGGGGCACAAATCAATGAACATGTCATAAATGTTTTTAGAGCATTTACTAATCATAATTGTTTATTTGACCTTCCGTTGTTAGGCAATTCGTTCACATGGTTTAGAGGAGGAGGGATTGTTTCAGCTTGTAGACTGGATCGGTTCCTAATCTCGCACTCACTCCTCATTAGTTTCCCTTCGTTGGTATAAACAATGCTGAATAGCGGTATCTCTGATCATAAAACTGATCATTCTAAAGTTAGAGAAATTAGTTTGGACCGCTCATCCATTTAGATACCTCTCATATTAGGGTGAAGATCCAGTTTATGAGGAACTTATCTTGAAGACCATCACCAAAAAGTAGGGGATGGTGTGATTAATTTACTAAGGGCTGCCAAACAAGAGTCGAAAATGTGGTACAGTGACCTTAGGGATAAAGTTAAGGAGAGTGAGGAAAGTTTGGAAGGAATGTTAGTTCAATTGAAAAAAAAGCTAGTTAGGGCTTCTGACACTAGTGCGATTTGGGAACAGATTTGCTCTATGAAAGCGGCTATGTGGACAAAACTTAGAACAGAAGAACGAGAATGGCTTTAAAAGTCCCGTCTTAAGTGGTTTAAAGCAGGTGACAAAAATACAGGGTTTTTTCATGTTGTGGCTTCTATTAGAAGCTGAGTCAATCACATATCGTCCATTTTCTTTGGGAATCAAATTTTCACCGATTCAAAATGCATCTCAAGGCTATTTAAAATTCACTTCTGAGAAACTTATAATAAAGTGTCTACATTCCCAGTGAAAACGTTTGTGGGAGAGTTTAAGAGACTCCATGAAGTATCGACACAAAATTTAGAAAATGCATTCACAGAAGAGGAAGTTTGGGCTAGAATTAGCTCTGTCGATGGTTCTCAGGCCCCTGGCCCCGATGGCTACAATATGGATTTCTTCAAGAAATTTTGGATATTACTCAAAAGTGAAATGATATTTTCCAAGCACCTTTTCAGCGGGACTATTTTTATCAGATCAATCAACCAATCTTTCATAAATCTCATTCCAAAAGTGATAGGAGTGAACAAGATTGGTGATTTTAGGCCAATAAGCTTCGTCAGTTGCTTGTACAAAATTGTTGCCCGAGTCTTATCAAGAAAGTTGGTAAGTTGTTTTAGAGAGATTGTGGGAGATACTCAGTTTGTTTTTATTTCAGGCAAACAATATCAGATTGTACCCTTATAGCGAATGAGGCCATAGATCACTTGAAAATGAGCAATATAGAAGTAGTTATGATCAAAACGGACTTCAAAGAAGCGTTCGATACAATTGATTGATCTTTCTTGGATCTTTTTCTTCACCTTATGGGGTTTGGGTTCATATGGCACACCTGGGTGAATCAATGTGTATCTACTATATCTATTTCCATCTAATAAATGGTTGTCCATAAGATACTTTTAGGATCAAGAGAGGTCTACGCCAAGGCTGCCGCTATCGCCTTTCTTGTTCAATATTGTGGGTGAAGATCTTAGTGTTATTATCATGAAAGCGTCTAGGATTAGGATACTCAAATGTTTGTCAGTAGGATCAGAGGGTCTTGAAGTGACTTATATTCAGTTCACCAATGATTTATTGATGTTCGTGGAGGCTTCAGAACGTATTATAGTTAATACTAAAAGAGTACTAAGAATATTTGAGCTTGCCTCGGGTTTAAAGCTCAACATGAGGAAGACAAAGTTGTTTGGCATTAATACTAATAGCACCAACTTGGCTACTTGGGCAAAGTGGATCAACTGTGGCGCAGAGGCTGTCTCGACATCATATCTTGGACTTCATTTGGGTCAAAGCCGAAATTCTTTAGCGATGTGGTAGCCTATTATTAACAAAGTTCAATCCAAGCTCGATGGGTGGAAGGGCAAATTACTTTCGTTCGCTGGGAGACTAACATTGGGTAAGTCTGTTCTCTCAAACCTCCCTATCTTCTACATCTATCTTTTTAAACTTCCAGCGACAATCGCTTCAAAGTTGAACAAGATAGTGGCTAGTTTCATTTGGGGAGCTAACGACAAGAGTGCGATTCACTGGGTGTGTTGGGAGCAAATGGCCAAACCTAAAAGACTTGGGCGGTTGGGTCTTTTTGATGTTAACGTCCAAAACAGATCACTTCTTAATAAATGGTTATGGAGATATGGGTCAGAACCAAACAGCTTGTGGAGGCGTGTGATCGATGGTAAAATTGGGGATTTGTCGAGGTGTTTAACTCCAAAATTTCACTCAAATAGTTATGCTTCCTGGATCTGGAGGAGTACTGTCAAACCAATCCAAGATCCGACAGATTCTTTCACTAGCAACCTGCTGTTGGTACTAGGTGACAGTCGGTTCATTGATTTTTGGCAAGACAGCTGGGCTGGTCTCCGACCATTAAAAGTAAACTTCCCTCGTATTTTTGTTTTAGCCATTAAAAAAGATGGAAAGGTGAGTGATTTTGAGAATTGTTTCAATGGTACTTGGGTTTGGTCTGTTACACTTAAGAGAAGGATTTTTGATTGGGAAAAGGAATGCAGAAGTAGCTTCATGAATACCCTTAACAAAGCTTCAATGAGCAGTGGTAAGTCCGATAGTGTTAGATGGATTGGTGCTTCTTCAGGTTATTATCAGCCAAAAGCGTTCTACGAAAAGATTTTCCAAATAGAAATATCGAAGACCACATCTGGGATTTAGTTTGGGCAAATTTGGCGCCCCCTAAGGTCGAGTTTTTTGTTTAGAGAGCGGTCCAGAATCGCATTCCAGATGTGGACTCAGGCCATTGCATATTTTGTAAAGATCGTCTAGAAACATCCTCTCATTTATTCTTACAATGTGTGGTTATGTGCAAAGTTTGGCAATCCTAGTGTTGCTGCTGGAATATTAAGCTGGTATGTCCTAGCTCCTTACACGCCTTGTTGTTGATGTAGGATTCTGCCAATTAAATCATCCCTAAAACCTCTTCGGAGATTGGCCTTCTCGGGTATTGTATGGACCACTGGCTATCCCGAAACGAAGCTATCTTCAACAATAAGCTATGGAATGCAGCACAGCTGTTTGATCTTACCTTGACTAGAATTGGGTTTTGGTGCAAAAGCAATTGGTCAGAATCTTCAGTATCTATTAATGAGTTCATCAGGTGCCCTGAAAATGTGTCATTCAAAGAAAGACTAAGTCGGCGTCCAGTAGTTGGTTCGTGCTTTGCTCCTCGGGCAGGTGAGCTAAATTCAAATTGGATGCGACAGTGAAGGTCTACTCCGAGACGATAATGGTAACACTCTTATTCGCTTTTCTAGACCTGTTGGGTTATCCGACCTAGCGGGGCAGAACTTTTGGTCTTTCTCGAAGCCTGTGAGTTATTTGGTGCTTCTAGATGGGTCAACTCTTGCTTACTCATTGAATCTGATTGTGCTGCAGCTGTTAATTGGATTGTAAATCCCACTTCTATCCCATCAGTTCATGTTGATGTTGTACGTAAAATATGATAGTCAAGTTCGTTTATAGAGAATGAAATATGGAAGCACATTGGCTTGCTCAAGAAGGTCTAAGTAGAGAACATTCGTTCATGTGGATGACTATGTGACGATCTAGGTATATTAGAGAAGAAATAGCGAAGAAGAAAGGGATTTC